ACATTCAAAAACTTTTTATTATGATATCTATGATTTCTTATATAGACATTGTATCAGCTTCCTATTTCTTTTTCCATGTATGTTATGCTAAGTGAATATCATTCATTCATTGTAAAATATTAAGGTTATGCATAATGATTCAGATCACAAGGTAATTAAAACTCCTAAATAATACCGTGACAGGCATATACAAACTGCAACAACCTGTACATCCTGTTTGCAAGTTTCTTTCTCTGAAATACAGGTAGGGGGTATATGAAGATAAACTACTGTCTACATTTACATATACCTTTAAATATCACTATAATGTTTCAGACTTTTATAGATTGAATGAAACAAAGTATGCAACCAGAGATTCCAGCCTTCTCCATACAAGTTTTAGTGAAAAGCTGTAGTAGAGAGTTTTGGTTAGACCCGATAGGAAAAGTACTGTATGAATGAAGACTGATTGTTAAAACCCAGGTATATAAAGGGCATACAAGTGTACAGGTTGTTATGTTTGCTTTCATTTTGTAAAATATATTGCATTGTGTGTTTTCAGTCTGAGTAAAATATGTTACTGTTAGAATTTTTATACAAATAATGTACAATTATGATAATGTATACAAGATATATGTATCATTGTTTATTGTTATTAAGTTCTTGACACAATTTTTTTTATAGTCGATTTGTCTGGATTAGACTGTCCCAATCTGTTTCGGGCTACAATCTCTAATATTACCTTGTATGATTTGGAGTCAGGAACTCTCAATATTATGAATATTCTATAGAATATATGATGATTAATACAAGGTGTTATGCTGGTAGTAGTTCTGACCTTAAGGGGCCAGCATCAAGTAATATTTCATTTGAGCACAAACCTGGATCCATTATCGACTAATTCTGTGTGTGTAAGAATGGATGCCATTCAGTGTCAGGAACATTTATTGTCTGTTGGTCAGTAACAGGTGAGAGGATGGGATATAGTACTAATATTTTCTTGTGGAAAGAGGAGCAGTGTAAGAGTCGTCAGTTATAACGATGAGAAGTCCAATAGATAGAACATAGGTTTTTATCTAGGTCACGACTAATGCTACTGTGTGTGTATGTGTGTAAGGATACCAGTATATAGTCTGTAGGGTTCTCGATAACATTTATCCTAGATTGACCCATGAATGATTGGTAGAACATCACATAATAATTATTGATAGTAAGAAGTGATGTAAATATGTGGTGATAATCTTCTTGTGTATTGTAAAGAAGTCAGTAACCATGCTAGATCAATAAAGTCAATCATGTACTATCATTGTGTTCTTCTGATTTGCAAAACAGGCAATGCTCAATTTCATTTTCAATAATTAATATGACTAAGTAGCTGTGGGATTGTAAAACAAGTTGTCACCCATGTTTATTCCTCAACCAAATTATAATGGTCAGTTTCTTCTGTCCGTTGTAGACATTTAGAACAATAAAAATAAAGTATACACAAGATTGTCTTTATCCGTCGCTTGTAGTATGTAACAGAAATATATGGTACCTAGTAACTGTGAATTATGGAATCGTAAGGTCATTCCCCACTCGTCTTTAATCAATACATGAATTATTTATATTTCAAGGCAGGACCGACCAATCCAAATGGCAGATAGGTTGTTCTCTATAATTTCTTATATGGTAGGAACATGTTTTTGAGAAATCACAACACTTTGTGCACTGGACACCAGTAAGCTGTTCAGGATAGAATCACTGAACCAAGAGATCTGTTCATGATAGAATCACTGAACCAAGAGATCTGTTCAGGATAGAATCACTGAACCAAGAGATCTGATCAGGATAGAATCACTGAACCAAGAGATCTGTTCGGGATAGAATCACTGAACCATGAGATCTGTTCGGGATAGAATCACTGAACCAAGAGATCTGTTCAGGATAGAATCACTGAACCAAGAGATCTGTTCAGGATAGAATCAGTGGGTACAAGTAAGCTGTTCAGGATAGAATCAGTGGGTACAAGTAAGCTGTTCAGGATAGAATCAGTGGGTGACAGTAAGCTGTTCAGGATAGAATCAGTGGGTACAAGTAAGCTGTTCAGTGGGTACAAGTAAGCTGTTCAGGATAGAATTAGTGGGTACAAGTAAGCTGTTCAGAATAGAATCAGTGGGTACAAGTAAGCTGTTCAGGATAGAATCAGTGGGTACAAGTAAGCTGTTCAGGATAGAATCAGTGGGTACAAGTAAGCTGTTCAGGATAGAATCAGTGGGTACAAGTAAGCTGTTCAGGATAGAATCAGTGGGTACAAGTAAGCTGTTCAGGATAGAATTGGTGGGTACAAGTAAGCTGTTCAGGATAGAATCAGTGGGTACAAGTAAGCTGTTCAGGATAGAATCAATGGGTACAAGTAAGCTGTTCAGGATAGAATCAGTGGGTGACAGTAAGCTGTTCAGGATAGAATCAGTGGGTACAAGTAAGCTGTTCAGAATATAATCGGTGGGTACGAGTAAGCTGTTCAGAATATAATCGGTGGGTACGAGTAAGCTTTTCCAGATAGAATCAGTGGGTGACAGTAAGCTGTTCAGGATAGAATCAGTGGGTGACAGTAAGCTGTTCAGGATAGAATCAGTGGGTGACAGTAAGCTGTTCAGGATAGAATCAGTGGGTGACAGTAAGCTGTTCAGAATATAATCGGTGGGTACGAGTAAGCTTTTCCAGATAGAATCAGTGGGTGAAAGTAAGCTTTTCCAGATAGAATCAGTGGGTGACAGTAAGCTGTTCAGGATAGAATCAGTGGGTGACAGTAAGCTGTTCAGGATAGAATCAGTGGGTGACAGTAAGCTGTTCAGAATATAATCGGTGGGTACGAGTAAGCTGTTCAGGATAGAATCAGTGGGTGACAGTAAGCTGTTCAGAATATAATCGGTGGGTACGAGTAAGCTTTTCCAGATAGAATCAGTGGGTGACAGTAAGCTTTTCCAGATAGAATCAGTGGGTGACAGTAAGCTGTTCAGGATAGAATCAGTGGGTGACAGTAAGCTGTTCAGGATAGAATTAGTGGGTACAAGTAAGCTGTTCAGAATATAATCGGTGGGTACGAGTTAGCTGTTCAGAATATAATCGGTGGGTATGAGTAAGCTGTTCAGAATATAATCGGTGGGTACGAGTAAGCTGTTCAGAATATAATCGGTGGGTACGAGTGAGCTGTTCAGAATATAATCGGTGGGTACAAGTAAGCTGTTAGAATATAATCAAGTAAGCTGTTCAGAATATAATCGGTGGGTACGAGTAAGCTGTTCAGAATATAATCGGTGGGTACGAGTAAGCTGTTCAGAATATAATCGGTGGGTACGAGTAAGCTGTTCAGAATATAATCGGTGGGTACGAGTAAGCTGTTCTGGATAGAATCACTGGACAGTAGTAGGTTGTGTGGGATGGAATTACAGGGCACCAGGAAGCTATTCACGATAGAATCGCTATACATCAGGAAGCTATATTGTCTTGCCCAAGGTACAACCACAACAACATAGAGTTATCATTTTCTCAGCCTTGCCTGAAAAACCAACTGCCATGAATAGGAAACATCAAACCACACATCTGGTACCCTAACATCAAGTTACATAGGTTTATTCTCCAACTGTCTGAGCTGTCCCTGCTTCTAAACACAGGGAAAATCTCTTACTGGAAACATAAGTATTTTACAACTTTCCACTCTGAAACAATTGTTCATAGAGCAAATATTTTGAATGCAATTTTAATATACTTGAACATCACTACATAATAAAATTTTATTGCACCAAGTTAAGAATGTTTACGGTACATAAAAATATAATTAAGTGTAAATTTATGTCCCTGATATCTAAGACTGTTTTTTGGTCTATCTATCTTATGGTCTGTTTATCTGCACACAACTTACACCTGTAAAACCTATTGTTTGATAAGGCATTTGATGACCTTGACATTGATCTTTGCACCTACCAGTGCTTATTAGTTCTTAGGTTTCTCTGAATAGCTTCAGTTTTTTTCTGAGAAGTTTTGTCAGATTTAAACCAAATTTTTGATATATTGCTTTCTACCAATTGGATCTCAATTGAGTATATATCGGTAAAACTTTGTCAGTATTTGCCTGTGAAAACTATGTGAATTTAAAAAATATCTTTAATTCTTACCATCAAATTTAAAAAAAAAAAAAAAATTGAAATATTGCTTTTTATCAATGTCATCACCAGCAGTTTAAGTTTATCTATTCAAAGCACAATCCGTCATTATTTGCCAGGGTTATTGGACTTTCAGTTTTAAGAAAGGTTTCTCAAACATTTTTTATTTTCTTTTATCATTATTTTCTGTATATGATTATGATACAGTTTTTTATGCCTACAATAAAATTACTAGGACATGTAGACCAATCACCATTAAACAGGTAAAAATTACAATAATAAGTGAACACTTGAGAATAACATAGGTCAAAGCACTCATAGATTTTCAAATACACATAATTTGATTATTCAGATTTCTCAGTATTGCACTCCGTATCAGGAAGCTTATGGAGAGACTAGACATTTGTGTAAAGTTTCCTGGTGTCTGTATAAGAGTTAAGGGGCAAATGTTTGTTTGATACATTTATTCAATAAACATTGATGTTGTAAACAGATTTTGATTGTCCCTAATACTGGTATTGTACTGATTTATCTGTCCTAAAAGCAGAGGTTACTACTTACTATCTAATAAAACCTATATTACAAACATTTTTATTGCGTAAAGCACAAGAATATCATTACTTTAACACATGCTCAGATTTCACCTTCACTGTCCCATACATATTGAATTTTTTTCTGTCCTCGTTAATCAGAGTAGTAATGCTCACTTTTACAAGCTTTCAATTTCCTCCAGATAATTTAACTCCTCTTTCACTTCTCTATAAGGAATAAAATTACTGTTTTGAAGATTCTGCTGTTCTGTTTGGAGAGATTTCCCCGATGTAAAAGTAAAACGTTAAGTGAAGACATACTACAGTATTTAATCTCTCTCCACAGATTACTCCTCCATGGAAGCCGGATGTGAAGAGTATCTGCGACACAAAATACATCCCCGAGGAGTTTGCACGGGAGCCAATGTCTCTGACCCCACCTCGCCATGGTCACGGTGAACTGTCACAGAGCTCACGACAACTGCTGTCCATACAAGAGGAAGGCGAGCTGCCTTACTTTGAACAGTTTTCTTATCATGGGACTAGTAGTCGCAGCTTTGGGAGCTACCTTAGCCAATCAGTGACTGGTTCTGAAGAAATGTTTTGATGTATCATCAACAGATTAAAAACTGTTATAAATCCATTGATGATACATCAAAACATATGAATATTTTAACCTTGAAGACCTCTCCTTTATTTTGGCCTCAGTTTTAATATTTTTAATAGTTTGGTTTGAAATTCATCAACACAACATATTTACTGAATCAGAAACTTTTGAATGTTAATACTCAGCTCCCACATCTTAACACTTAAATAAGTGGTCTCTTCATAAACATTTCCCTTATAATCAGATCTGTTAAGTAAACAACAGTGATAGAATAGTGATTCTTTAACATAGAATAGGAAACACTGTCATTGTCTTCTCTGAAGATGGACACATGCTTTAAGTTTGTTTTCTGAATGTAAATGAAAGTTGTGAAAAATTATGTGTCCCAAAACAGAATAAAAACACAATGAAAATAACAGGATCTGTAGAGATATCTCTGTAAAATACTGGTGTCAGTAGGGATATCCCTGTAAAATACTTGTGTCAGTAGAGATTTCCCTGTAAAATACTGGTGTCAGTAGAGATTTCCCTGTAAAATACTGGTGTCAATAGGGAAATCCCTGTAAACTACTGGAATCAGTGTACAGTAGGGAAATCCCTGTAAACTACTGGGATCAGTGTACAGTAGGGAAATCCCTGTAAACTACTGGAATCAGTGTACAGTAGGGAAATCCCTGTAAACTATTGAAATCAGTGTACAGTAGGGAAATCCCTGTAAACTACTGGGATCAGTGTACAGTAGGGAAATCCCTGTAAACTACTGAAATCAGTGTACAGTAGGGAAATGTGTGTTACTAATTCTGAAGTGATATGCAAATGTAGATAATCAGTAACTAGCCCAGTTATGCAAGCACCATGAAACAATAGGTTAAACTAAGTTCTGTTTGTATGTCCTGATAAAACAGCAGGTTCATGGTACTTCTTCAAAGTAAAAATGAAACCTAGCTAATGTGGTGATTGAAAAATGATGCCTAATATCAGATAGGTGGACAACATCTGTTTCAGTACATTTGTACAATGTGCTTATGAAGGAGTGAGTGATTCATGATTAATGTGTGTATGTACAAAGCTATAAAATCCATAGAGTGCTTATCTATTTGTGTCATATTTTAATGTAAAGGAGGTCCGATTTCACAGGTTCTTGTGTCAGGTGACTTATTCCACTATCAAATTCTGTACTTAACAAGTCTAGCACCTATATAATCTGTGTAGTTGCCTTGCTAATATCCAAGGCGATGAGATTGTTTGTTGTTATCTTCATACCAAAGACTTGTGTCATATTAAGGGATTTTTTGTCTCTTGTTATCTGTTACATATGAATTGCTTCCAACTTCAATGACAAACTGTTGTGCCTTTTTTGTGTTATGCCAAAATGACATTTTCCTTGCAGCCGTAGTAGATTTGTAAGTTTCTATTATATATAGCTAAGTTTATTTTCCTGAACATGTTGATAACACATCTTGTTGAAGTAAGAAGTGTTGATGAATGATAAATGATTATTTATGACAAGTTTGTAGAGCTTGAAATCAAAAGAAGTCTTAAACTCTTTATGTAAGAGTTGTTAATAAGGAAATTGGTGTATGCAGACAAAAATAATATTAATTTTTTTATCCTTTTTTTTTTTCCTTTTAGTTCCTAGAATTCATGTTTACAACTACAATTTATTGTTGTTCAACAAGTTTTCGAAAACATAATGAAAAGTGATTGAAACAAGTATTTCTATCAGACTGAATTGTATGGTTTTAATTTTTGTCAAAAAACAAAAAAAAAGATATTTCAAGATGTTTAGGTCATATGACCTGAAGAGTCAGGATGACCTATAGCCAGTGTGTTTTTTGTCCGTCAGTGTCCGACGTGCGTAAATTTTCCATTCAAATGACTTCTCCTTAATAACCAAATGGCCCAGGGTGCTATTATTGGGTTTACACAATGATGATGAAGGGCTACCAAGTTTGTTAATATGAATGACCTTGACCCACTTTCAAGGTCATAGGGGTTAAATTTGCTGAATCTTTAAATGACTTTTTCTCAGTAACCGAAAGACCCAGGGTACTGATATAAAGCCTGTAGCATGCTGTAAGCTGTAAAGTAATTGAACAATTAATTTTAGGCCTATTTGGCCCCTTTCATATTTAGGTCTGTATACTCAGATGACTGTTAAGGCATGTGGGCCTCTCGTCTAGATTTAGAGGTTGTTTGTCAGCAATGACAATCCAGCCAGTAAATAGGCTTCTCCTCTCAGGAATGGTGTGATAGTTTACAAGTATGAGAATGAAAAGTTTTTATACAGTAGAAGAAACTGGTATAGACAGAACATTCTTATCGTTAGAATATCAAACATTGTTGTACCTACTGTGTATATACTATACTGCTGACCTATAGGTCTTTAACACTCTTGGCTATCACAGTGTTTCTGCAGTAGTTCCATGATGTGCTGAACACACTTCTCCAGATGAAACACCTTATTGTTGTTCTACAATATTATTTTTTTGATGGAGACATTAATTATAAAAATTGACATATTTTTGTAAATACATGTAAATTTAACAATTCATTGATGATATGTATTGAAAACAGTTCAGATGTGTTGTTTCTTGTATGTTGTGAAGGAAGACTTATGTATCCTGTTGTTTTTATAGTGCACAAGACTGGAATGCTGGCATTCTTTTCAAATTAAATCTGTTTTACCTTCCTGTATCATACTAAGGGTTATGATATATTATGAATCCTTGTGTAACTCCTCATTTCACCACACCCCAGTTTTAAAATAAGTTGCTTGCATTTTATAGGTTTGCAAATTATAGATCAACAATACAGTAACAGTGGACTCCTGCAAAACCCAGTTTAAAATGCTATCATTATGTAGTTCAGGATTTTACAGGATTTTGAACTGGTGTATCACATACTATATATTATAGTATTATAACTCAGTGTCTTAGTGGTACATAGTTTTTGAAAATCTCAAAGAGAACCAACAAATTCTTTTTTAAGCTTATTAACTTTTACAGGAAAGAAGAAAGAGTGATTTCCTGTGAAGCAAGCGTTGTTCATGGCAACAGTTAAATTGAAGTGTTCACACATTTTTTCCCCAATAAATTTTTCCTCATGCAAATGGTCTGTCTGCTCATAAACTATTTTTATATCACTATTTCTTGAGAAGTATTGTAAAGATCTTTCTCAAATTTCATTTATAGGTTCCTCTTGGTCCCTAGTTGTACCTCTTTGTTTTTTGGACTGAGGGGAAAAAAATGGCCAACAGGTTGCTATCTTGGATTTGGCTGAGTAAATTTTGTTACCCCTATTTCTTCAGAAGGACTAGATGGATCTCTCAAATTTCATATGTAAGTTTCCATACATAGTTACGCTCATTTGATTTTGGGTCTGATCAGAAAAACAAAATGGCAGACAGCTGACCATCTTGGATATGGCAGGTTAAGATTTTCATCGCTACTTCTGCAAAGGAATGTTCAAATTTCTTATCATTAAGAGCAAAAACAGAGAAGAGAAATAAGGGAAAGATCCAACTTTCAAAGAGCAAATAAAGATCGAACATTGGTGGGTGCCAAGATCCCTTTGGGATCTTTTGTCATCTAACTGAGTTTGTTGTTTGATACTGGTGTAAACGTCTAAAATGGACTTTGCTGTTGTGAAAATTAATTAGTTTTATTGACCACGGCTATTGCTAAGTAAATGTTTCACAATTTTTTCACCTTTGAAAAATTTTATTGATTCACTTACAAAGTTATTCCTTCTGGATTAGTATACAATGTGTATATGCTTTTAACAATAGGGGAAATTATTTTAGGTCTACCTTATCATTACTGTTGTCACGAGGACACTTATCTGTCTCAAAATCATGAAATAATGACTGTTTTATTTCCTTAATATTGTTTCGTTAGCTGTAAGTAGACTAGACAAAATACAAATACTTCAGTAACTGTACCTAAGTGCTTTAGTGCAATATAACTATTTGAAAAACATATTTACACATCCCATCTGTTTTTATGGACTTCTTGAATAGACACTCTATTTTACCAGCAATAAACCTCTGTCTGGTAATAAGCCATCTCATAACAATTGCTGTTAAGGTAAATAACAAAGATTATTTGATTGTCCAACAATCTTTAACAAGGATTTCTATGTAGGCTGTCAGGTCTCAGTGCATGATGAAATTGGTATGAGAAAATGCTTTCATACCTTAATTGTACCACTGCAGCATAATTTCTAAAAATAAGTCTTAATTTTGAACGAAAGATATTTTGGGATGAACTTTTCTCTTACATCTTACATGCTTCCTTTAGCTAGAAGTTAAATTATTTGGCCTCAAGTGAAGACATAGTGAAATGACATATTCAATTGTTGTTCTGATGTATGCACCACAAAGGGAGATAATCAAATCAGAGAATTTGACAGTGAGTTTTGGCCAAATAATGTATGAGAAATATAATCTATTACTGGTATATGTTTGCCTTAAGAAAGATTTTGTTAACAACAGATTCAATTAATGTGTAAATAATCATGAATCCAGTTATAAATTAGTGTTCAGGTGTATACTTAGCTTTATAGAATTATTGTTGTACTTTGTAAATGCTTTTTGAAAATCCTGTCTGAATTTTAACAATAGTATGTTTGATTTTGAAGTAGGGCAATATGTTTGAAGGGGTTAGATATAAGACATATTTGTAATTTGGATTTATATATACAATATTTGTTGCTAGTCTCTAAAGTGTCTTATCCTGTTGAGAAATCTTTTTAAATTGTTTTCTTTTACCTAGTTTTAATTGACTTATGATCAGAAATGTAGGTCTGCACAGGTGAGATTTAGTGTGAACCCAGTGATACCCACCTGTGTAATGTTTCCACCTAATATTAGCCACTGATACACAACATACAACTCTACCTACACCTTCATGTAATTTTCTATTTCAAAAATAAAAAAAAAACTTTAGAAAGAATATTTCATTTTTCCAATGTTTGATTTATAAATATATGAGACAAAGAGACCTGTTTTCTATCCCAAAACATGTACAGATATTTGTTTAATGTAATCGATAATGAGATCTATTATAATTCATTTTATCATATTTCATGACAAAACCTTGAAATGATAGAAGATTTTGCAATTTCCCAAAATCAAAACATATTCTGTATCTGGACTATCTTGAAAATTACGCGAGTCCCATTCACAATTTACATATAATCTATAACAATATGGATTGAGAGGCTCTGTAAGTACATGATGTAGCAGAAGTTATGAGTTGACTAGACTGGAATTTTACACATCTATTATGTCTGTGATGAAAAGGAAACACTAAACAAGATCAAAGTAAAAAAACTGACTGCATTGCTTTATGTATCTATCAAAGGACAGATGTAAGCCTAAGGTTTTGTGAGATATTTTTGACTAACATATCAAATTGCTAATTGCCAGCATCCAGGATCACCCTGAGATCTTCCAGAGGTAGTATAGCTAAAGCAGAACCCTTGGTTCTTGAAGATGACATTAGATACACATGCATGAATATGATTTTTTTCTTATTTTTTAACTGAAAATATTTGGAGTTTTAAATATTGGCAAAATATAGCTGAAACATTATTTTCATTTTCACTCAATAAACCATCATAAGGAGAGATTGCATTTAGAGAAAATTTGAGTTTTAATAGCGATTATATCATATGGTGTACTCCAGTAAACTTTGCTCTATATACTATGGTGTCCCTGACCTTACTGATGATAAACGTTTTTCTTGTGTAATGCTACACTTCCTTAATTGCTTTGATAAACATCAATTGTTGAGATGAATAGATGTGATAACCTGGTTGAACAGAGTTTGGTTCCATTGACTGATATGAGTTTCATTCTTGATATAGTCAGAGTATGTGAAGAAATGGAGAAAGAGGTGCAAGGATTGTAGAAAACACAAAGATAGTGTTGCTTAAGCAAGAATTGATAACATTACAAACACATTTCCTAATTCTGACTCCTACATTCCTCCAAGACACACAAACAGAATGCATTTTTTGTGTCTACCTTTGTGTCTTTGAAGAAATCTGAATTTGGGAATCAAAATATTTGAATAGAACTGTAATTTAAGTATGAAAATATGTAGGCCAAACTTATTATGTCAACATCTAGGGTCTACAGCTGTTGTCAGTTGTTCTGAATGCTATAAGCAATGGACAGGTTTTTACATATAGCATACCACATATGTATACCCTTGCCTACTCAAATCTCTTGCAATATCACTTACTATCGTTAGGCATAAAAAAAATCTGACTATAAACAAGGACCTCGTTATGTAGCCAACATAGAATTTAAATTGTCTCCAAGAAAAGCTGACAAAGACCCCCAATATGGCCTGCTTTCTCCGTTTTTGAAAGACGCAGGGCTGTAAAATGCTCCTTAAATGTAAATAGCCACATTCTTGTTCTCATCTCTCTAAAGTTGTCTGTTAGAATCAGTGACAGAAGATGCAGGGCAGTTATTTGCTCTTTAAATGTATATAACCTCATCCTTGTTCCCACATATCCTAAGTTTTCTGTCAGTGACAGAAGAAGCAAGGATGTTACATGTTTCTTACCCTGTACATAGCCTCATTCTTGTTTCCATCCCTCCTAAGTTGTCTGTTAGATTCAATAATGAAATGTTGATTGAGTGTTTAGCCTGGTGCCAGTGATAAGGTACAGATTCTGTTGTATAAATGTAATCATTTGAACATATCATGGAGTCAACAATCCATGGTGGTCATTGTCAATAAAGTTTCTACGTAGTTTCATAAAGAGATCTTGTGATTACTAATACATATTCCTGAGTCTATTAATAGTGATTTGCAAATGTTTTATGTCTCATTCACTTTATATGTCATGTTTAATTTTGAGAATCAAGAAAGGACAAGATGGCTAACAACCATTGCAGTAGATATATAGATGTTATAATGATACAGTATCTTGAGTATGTGAACAAAAGAGATAAGCCATTTCCTGTGTATAAATTATACTTTTTCAAGAAAGTGAGAAGAAGTGCCAAAGTCCCATTCTATAGAATACTGATCATTCATTCTCCTTTACATATCCTACATAATGTTCTAGTCCTCAGTTATGAACATTGTTCTTTAACTTGAAACTCACATCCCTCGTGTTAGTGTAACAGTATCAGGATTAATTGAGAACAAGAAAAAAATTTTCACTATGTTAGGCATAATTTTAACGGCAATCTTTCCACAAGTTTTGTATAAGAGTTTCATAAGAAAAATAAGTCTTATTTCCTACACAAGATCTTTTTTTCAAATATAACATTGATCTTGACTGCTTCCACGACTGAAAAAATCAGATATTATCCAAAATATCAACAGAATCATAATTCAAACTTGATGGCGATGATGAAACTATGGCAAAACATGAACAAAAGAACGATTAACACAAAGACCACTGACATAAGACCGGAAAGAGAGTCCATCGACGACACCCGCCATGTAAAGCTTGGTCAATCCAAGTATGTAATGTCACGTTCCCAGATGAGAACAAAGGTAAACAACAATGGAATTACCAGGCAGACTAACGAGTATTAAACTTTTATACATTCATAATGCACAAGAAAATATGAATATTTCTTTACGAGATCATTATATCGACAATAAAACTTACCGTAATTTTCATCAACTTATAATAAAAAAATTAGATATTGGATAAAAGTGGAATATGTTGAAACATACGACGGTGTTGATGCTGTTGAGTACAATGGCACCCTACTTTGGATATATATGTTAGTAAACATATACATATAAAGTAACATATTAAGTTCTAACATAGCTCCCGCAAAAACCCTATTGGACAGGTGTGCCGCCAATGGATAACTGCCCACTCAGTGAGATCCCTAGATGATCAGTGCAGCTGAAAGAGAACTATTAAACTATGATAGCTCTAAATATACAATACAGGTGTATGATAGCTCTAAATATGCAATACAGGTGTATGATAACCCTAAATATGCAATACAGGTGTATGATAGCTCTAAATATACAATACAGGTGTATGATAGCTCTAAATATACAATACAGGTGTATGATAGACCTACTCATATGATACAGGTGTATGATAGCCCTAAATATACAATACAGGTGTATGATAGCTCTAAATTAACAATACAGGTGTATGATAGCCCTAAATATACAATACAGCTGTATGATATAGCCCCACCCATACAGTACAGCTGTATGATATAGCCCCACCTGTACAGTACAACTGTATGATATAGCCCCACCCGTATAGTACAGCTGTATGATATAGCCACACCCGTATAGTACAGCTATATGATAAAGCCCCACCCTTACAGTACAGCTGTATGATATAGCCCTAGACGTACATTACAGCTGTATGATATAGCCCCACCCGTACAGTACAGCTGTATGATATAGCCCCACCCGTACAGTACAGCTGTATGATATAGCCACACCCGTATAGTACAGCTGTATGATATAGCCCCACCCTTACAGTACAGCTGTATGATATAGCCCTAGACGTACATTACAGCTGTATGATATAGCCCCACCCGTACAGTACAGCTGTATGATATAGCCCCACCCGTACAGTACAGCTGTATGATATAGCCCCACCCATACAGTACAGCTGTATGATATATCACAAGACATACAACACAGCTGTATGATATATCACAAGACATACAACACAGCTGTATGATATATCACAAGACATACAACACAGCTGTATGATATATCACAAGACATACAACACAGCTGTATGATATATCACAAGACATACAACACAGCTGTATGATATATCACAAGACATACAACACAGCTGTAAGATATATCACAAGACATACAACACAGCTGTAAGATATATCACAAGACATACAACACAGCTGTAAGATATATCACAAGACATGCAACACAGGTGTATGATATCCTAAACTCACATTTACAACTGTGATAACCCTAGACATACGATACAGCATTGTAGTTCATTTGAATGTCAAGCTGCTTAATCCTGAAATGATGAACCTAGTGGATCTAAATCGCTTTTAAAGTGACAATATTCAGCGTGCTCTCGATTTAATTCGGCGTTACAATGATTCTATACATCGTGTCCTCCTTTCTGACCTTGCCTATTCTCAATGTCGTTATTTTCTTTGTTCAATAGCTTTAAATTCAGAGTAAAGATATTTTGACAATTTTGATAAAATGCAAATGTGTGTACTGCGTGCTTATGAATAATAGTTTTAGTAGTTAAAACTGGTATTAACAAAGAATAGCTTTGGAAGTAATACGACATGTCGGAACACTCTCATGAACTTTAACGAGGAAGTACAACCGGCTGATGGAAAAACCGAGACACGTTTCTGCACGTGTTTGTAATTTTGTATAATGATCATGTAATAGAAGTACCTGTTTTGACAATCACATCAAACTTGTTAACTTCAATAGGTAAAACCGCGTGAGAATTCAGAATATAAAGGACAAAAATTGTGCCCGTTCAGAATTTGCTCCTTTTAAAATTGGATTAACGATTGTTATGAATAGTATAATGACTCACTGGCGTACGATACCTGAATTATCAATACAATCTGCTATTTGATTCCGTTTTAACTGACTGTTTGTTACATACGGATTGGACAAAGTATAGACATAAGCGTTGTTCCTGTTGATTTCCGTACTTACTTCCTTTGTCGTCTTAACAAAGAAATCCTATAATCCAATCGGGAGAGTGAAGAGTTCAGTTAAGACAAGAAAAATTATGGTCTTCATAAAACGATAATATTGGTTTATTGCAAAATATGTGTAATTGATACATTTCTAGTGGAGGAAAATGTACAGCAGAAAATACATCGACTTTTTACGTCACGATTAGGCTATTTTCTGTCGACAAAGACAATAGAAAACAGTGACCTAGTTTCTAGGACCACGAAAACAAATCAGTAAAGTAATTAAGGAAAAACTTGTGTAGTATGTATATTCACAGGAATATCGACTTACAATAGATATATAAGAACCGCTGTTTCCGCTACACTTGATTGATGTTCTAGGTTTAAAATCAGATCGTTAAAGCAAAAACATTTCTGGAAATGTGTTGTGTTTTGTATATTGATGATGAGGATAATCTGTTGTCAGGAATAACATCAAACGCCACACCCCATGAAGTGAACAGTTTACAATTTTAAAAACCCATTAAAATCGAGATTCTGATACTTTGAATCGATCGGGAATTTTCATAATTTCGCTCAATGTTGTAGTAAGACTGATTTATTCAACATCTGTAACATAAATAAATTTTAGATTAAATATTCATATAGCCACACCAAACAGTGGTACTGACATTACACGACCCTTTCCATTAACACGGTAGGTACAAAATGATTTATAAACAATATCATTATTTTATTCAGATAATTTGCCTCCTTGCTACTGTAGATTCCTAGATTATGATATCACGTTTTTCCAAAAAAAGAAAAAAAAATCGGTGTTCTTTTCAAGGGATGAAAATAATTAATAATGAAATCTTTGGATCATTAATTAACTAGTTAACCGAATAATCAATTTGTGAAATATAAGATATAACATTATGTTAGGTAAACCAGGTCTGACCACATTGCCTGGTTATCATAATTAGAATGGTGAGGATAACCAGGCTTTGTCAGGTCTCACCGCATTACCTGGTTAACATAATTAGGTTGGTGAGGATAGCCAGGCTTTGTCAGGTCTCACCACATTACCTGGTTATCATAATTAGACTGGAGAGCATAACCAGGCTTTGTCAGGTCTCACCACATTACCTGGTTATCATAATTAGAATGGTGAGAATAACCAGGCTTTGTCAGGTCTGACCTCAATAACTGGTTATCATAATTAGAATGGTGAGGATAACCAGACTTTGTCAGGTCTGACCACATTAACTGGTTATCATAATTAGAATGGAGAGGATAACCAGGCTTTGTCAGGTCTGACCACATTAACTGGTTATCATAATTAGAATGGTGAAGATAACCAGGCTTTGTCAGGTCTGACAACATTACATGGTTATCATAATTAGAATGGTGAGGATAACCAGGCTTTGTCGGGTCTGACCACATTACCTGGTTAACATAATTAGGTTGGTGAGGATAGCCAGGCTTTGTCAGGTCTCACCACATTGCCTGGTTATCATAATTATAATGGTGAGGATAACCAGGCTTTGTCGGGTCTGACCACATTAACTGGTTATCATAATTAGACTGGAGAGGATAACCAGGTTTTGTCAGGTCTGACCACATTACCTGGTTATCATAATGAGACTGGAGAGGATAACCAGGCTTTGTCAGGTCTGACCACATTAACTGGTTATCATAATTAGAATGGTGAAGATAACCAGGCTTTTGATATTATGTCAGACTGATCTTACTGTTGCCTTATTCTATACCTGGTCTATTATGATACCAAAACTAATCCATTTATTGTTTATTGATTTCTATTTCTATAATATTCACAACATTTAAATATGTAGGCCTATATCAAGTTATTGACATGACAAACAAGAAAAAAACTACTTTGGAATACTATACTCAAATGCGTGTCATTGGTTGATCATCTAATTTCGGTGCTAGACAATTTAATGGCTATGTTTTTTTTTTTGTTTTTGTTTTTTGTTTTTTTCCATATTTTAATTTAATTTCATAATTGAATTAAATGAAAACTCATCTCATAATATATACTTTTTATCATTTATATATCTTGTGAAAACCAAATTTCTAGTTCAAGTTTCAGTTTAAATAGATTAAATTTCCTGCA